GGAACACATCCCTGAATTCGATCAAATCCTTATACAAAGGATTTGCCTGAAGTGACTCCCAGGATTGGGACGCGTATCGCTCAATCCGAGTCTTCTCATCGAGGACACTTTCGTCCATGGGGATGAGCTGCTGAGAACCCGTTCGTTCTCAGCAAATACTGTTGCCGACCGAATGTCGGTCACATACTCGTCCTCTGTGACGAGTACGCAGATCTGCTTGACTTCGCCACTACGCAGATCACGCAAGAACCGTTTCGGTTCTAGCGTTGGCAACTGAGTTATCTCCGAAGTCAACTTCGGAGGCACAATCAGATCAAGCGTATAAGCGCCTACGCTTGATCCGTCATTAAACAAGACGTTCAACGTCTCGGTTTCTTCCTGGGAACTTGCTTCCACAGGTTGCTGAGGGCCTGATCCCTCAGCAATCAACTCTTGAGGAACTCCTTCCTCAAGTACGTGGGGACTTATTCCCTCGACGTCTTCTGACTGTGGCTGTGCAACCACAGTCAGGAACCGATCCTCTACGGTCGACTCTCCAGTCGACCTAGGATTTTCATGTTGCCCCTTGGGGGCAACAGATTTCTTTCTTCTAAGATGCTGCCCGCTAGGCATGCATCCATGTCCCGGTCCACTCGACTTATTCGAGTGGTGGACCTTCGGCGCAGCCTGTACTTCTGTACAGCCGCCGGGAGCTTGCTCCACAGTGTAGTGATCAACTACACTGTGACCTTGTGCAGTCGTGCTAACGACCGTGCCGCAAGTGAGGCCATCGCACTCACTCGCAGAACATCCACACGCTTGTGGACGCTCCAAGATGTTCATCAGATGGCCATCTGATGAACAAGCAGCAGGCATCTTCACGGATCGATGCTGCCAGCTCACCCTTGGCTCGTATTTTCTGAGCCAAGGTAATCCCAGGATGACATCAAATTTGTCATCCAGATCTAGTACGATGAAATCATCATCGTACTGCTCGCCCTCTAACGTGTAATGGATTCCTACTACACGTTTCTCAACGGTTATCGATGCGCCTGTTGCAAGGCGCACCGTCATCCTTGTGAGGGGAATGTCGCGCTCAACGAACTTGAGCCTACGACCCTCTAGTGACTGGCGACGAACAAAGTTGTTCGACGCCCCACAGTCTACTAGGGCACGAAGCGACAAGTCATTTGTCGCTTCCAACTTCAAGGTGATGAGCGAAACGTCATCACCAGGTGCAGAGACACACAATGATTGTGTATCTGGAGCAACTTTCGTCAAGAGATTTGCAAATTCTCTTGAGGTTGCTGGATCAGTAGGGCGCTCCGCCCCTACTGACCCCGACCATTTTTTGATGGCCCGTCTCGCTGTTGCGGCTTCGCAACAGCGCTGGACCCACGCCCATTGCCCTTTCTGGCGAATGGTCGTCCATTTCGCTCAGTACTGTTTGGTACTGGGCGCGGAGCACTACACTCGTATGCGTAGTGCCCTAACTTCTGACAGCGATTGCACCTCTGCAATCGCTTGTTGCTTGTAGAGCGAGGTCTCTCGCTCTCAACATAACAGAGGTCCATTGGTTCTGGACCTCCGATCTCTTGTCGTCTCGGTGGACGGTAAGAGTTTGAGCTAGCATGAGCCTGTCTCATGCTAAAGTCTTCCTGTTCCGCGGCTGATATCGCTTCTTCAAGCGTATTCAGCTCAAGGCGGAACAGGTGGCTCCTGACGGGCCCTTCTGCGAGCCCTTGCATGAACACCGTAATCAACGTGTGTTCATGAACTGGGTTTGCAGTTATACTACTCGCAAGGAGTCGTATATGTTGTGCGTAAGCGTGCACATCACGCTTACCCTGCTTGAGTTTCAGGAGCTCTGAACGAGCCCTGAACTCAGCATGTGGCGGCTCAAACGTTTGTCTGAGCCGGGACTTGAAGTCATCTAGCGACCTAAACACGTTTGGGTCGCTACTCTCGAGTCCCAGGGACCAAGTTTTGGCACGCCCTGCCAAGTGGGTCTGAGCAAATGTGAGTTTCATTTGCTCATCTTCGACGCGACGAGCCCTTAGGGCTCTGTCGAGTTCGACAAACCATAGTAACAGGGAGTCCTCTGGGACTCCACTGTACTTGGAGATGTCGACTTTCATCACTTCGGGACGACGCGCATGCGCCGTCCCGCCCACAGCAGCATGGAATTGCTGCTGTCTCAACAGCTCCGTCTGTTGAGCACCGAGTTCTCTCAACTGCTCGGCCTGTTGAGAGCCTTGCTGGTGAAGCAAGGCTACTTTCTCCCTCTCGAGAGCAAGTTCATTGTGAATGAACTTGGCGATAGCAGCATGTTGTTGGTCTCTGTCTAGAGACTCCAACATGGTGCTGACGACGAGTTCGCCTACGGTAGAACTCATTCGTTCTACCGCACCCCATTCGATGTCACTCAAATGGGTAAACCCTTCACGCGTGGCGTGAAAGGTGTCTTCTTCATCCAACATGTTCATGTTGGATGATGTGGTCCTTGGAAGGACTACAAAGTGCTACCAGGTGTAACGGGGCACACCCTTGCGTAACTTAACGCAAGGGATTTGGGTGCCCCGACAGACGTACACGTGGCGAGCGAGGAAGCGTAGGTAGGGTAAAAGTAGAACTGTTATATTAATATAATTAAGTCTTTAAACTACTGTCTCTTCGTTTGACTTAATTCAATTATACTAATATAACTGCATGTATGGTGACGTCTCGTCACCACTCATTGCGCGCGTCTTGCGGCGATTGGTGGGTTGATATCATCACGATATCAACCAATGAACAGACCCTTTGGTCGACCCTTCAATATCACCACTTTGGTGATATTGTTTAAAGAATATCCATCTAATATTCTTTATTGTCACTTTCCTTAAGTGACAATATCATGTAACGGGCTGCCCCGTTACAGTTGCGGCGAGGTCCGATCGCTTGCAGCAGATGGTGACACAATTTTCAAGTCCAGCGGCGTTACATCCTGCGACATCCTTCGCAATGACCATGAGCCTGTACCTGTGAAGCTACCACACTGGGTCACTTCAGAGGGGTCAACGAGGAAGCGGGTATAGCAAGTTGCAGTTTTCTTGGAGCAAGACAGAAATGACATTCATTCGAAGGTGGCGTAGAGCAACGACTCAGATCGACAGACAGCGGCCGACCATACGAGATTCGACAATGTCAAGATTTGGGAGGCCTCGTCTTCGGTGCGCATCCGCTCATACACGAGTTACCGTATTGCGTCCTAGATTCAGTTGCCAATGTACACGTCTTACCCGCTATCAAGAAACAACCGTTTCGTTGACTTGGAGATGCAAGAAGTGGTTTGACCACAACTGAGGCGAAGCTCCGACTCACAGCTGCCTAAAATGCTGGGAAGGCCGCGACATTTCCCCACACGCCGACGACTCTTTGGCCTTGTAAGAATGAGCTTTGGGAATCAGAAGTGGGTAATTATCGCATGGCAATGCGAGAACTCCGTCGCTTCATTTCGGACCAAGCGCAATGCGAGCTGTCGGAAGTTAAATTCTGTAGTGCAGTAACGGAAACGATGGAGTAATTTTTCTGGACTTGACCGTGTGCGCAGGCTTGTTGGCGGAAGCTCGTATGTCACTCGACCGGGGAACGCTACGATCTCTATAACGGGGCACTGCTTACCTCGTACTGTTACAGTACTGAGTTCGCATTCACTGGCAACAGTGAAGATCAGTGCCCTGCTAGGTGTAAACACTTACACATAGGAAGGAAGAACAGCAAAGACAATGCTTTAGTTGTATAAAAAGTAGAACAGTTATTTCATACAGTTAAGTCCTATAATTCTTGTTCTCTGTTTCGAACTGTCTCAATTATACCTACATAACTAAACGTATCATGGCGTCTACTACTCACCACCGATTGCGTGCGTCTAGCAGCGATTACTGGGTTGATATAATCACAATATCAACCAATGAGTAGACCTTGGGTCATCTCAACAATATCACTGTAATTAGTGATATTCTTAAAAGAATATTCGATGTAATATTTTTTATTACCATTTCACACTGGTAATTTCATGTAGCGGGATGCCCCGTTACAAGTTCAGTTGCTTGTATCTTATCCTCACGAAATGTGCATGTCGTCAGGCACTAGTGCTGTCCGACGTGGCGGAGGAGGACATCTTTCGCGCACATTTGGACGAGGAGATTGGCTATGCACGAATATGGGCGCGGACGTAATCTACATTGTGCAGTGCTGGCACAAGTAGCTTGTGGATCCTCCGCAATCAAGCTACATTTCTGCAAAAGGATGTCTCTATTGATCATAGCGTCAGAGAAGATTGGGAAATCTGCATGCGACAGCTACGAGCGGCAGCAAACGCGAGTACCGGACAAGCGGCACGAAAATCGAGACGCCTGCCTACCATTATGCCAGAGGGAAATCGTTTGACAACCCTGAGAGCCGTCACCTCAGGTGACAAGACCCGTTGAACTACCGGATTCGCCAGAGGAACCGGCATTGTTAGCCAGGCTTAGGATCGATCAGACATCTTGCAACCATTAATGGCTCCATAGATACGTCTGCCTTTAAAAACTGACAGCAATGTGAATGGCTACGAACGCTGGTGTTATGGAGTGCAGTCCAACATGATGAAGGGCCCTGGAGGCGGTTCATCGAGCGTCGAATCGTAGTCGATGGTCAGAGCTTTTGATCTCAATACTAGCGATTCCGACTTTAAGGCATGATAAATGTCAGGAATTCTCGCCAGCGTTCGCATCGATCTTCGACGCGAATGCCATTGGCTTAGGCGGATTTGACCAACGTATTTGCCTGCCTTCACAGCGTTTCTCGTCTCACTATCAGCACAACATCGCTATCGTCCGTTGCTAATGTTTGCTCTATTCGCCGATGATTAGCGGTGGACGGTAACGTGAGTGTACCCTCGCACAAAATTCCACAGTGAAATAGTGATAAATGCACGCAATTCACACTCCACTGCTCTACAGCCTTTTCACACCGAATTTGCCTCTCGAGCGACCATGGAAACCGCGGCCGAGATGGTACGTCGCCTGACCCAACTCGCTCGATCGTGTACCCCCTAAGCGACTGACACCATCTTCGCGTGGCCGTAGAGTCCCGTTCTGCACGAGAAGCTCAGCGACGTATTGAACAGGTCCCGTCGTCCCGCTTTGCCCCACTGTTCGCCCTCTGTCTGCACCGACTGACTGACTGACTGACTGACTGACCGACTCGTACGCGGCAGATACGACGCGCTGGAGGCCATTCTCGTGTGCACTTCGGAAGGTGTCCCGCTCCTCAAAGGTCGGCCACGTCACACGCACGACAGCTGCAACTTGTTGTGTCCGTCTCTAACCCGTCGCAATGAATGTGCTACTGGTGCAGTGGCGGCGGACGACACGTCGGAGCTGTCGTACGAGTACACGGAGACAGTGCTGCCCACGGTCTTTGCTGGGGCGGCCGAGCAGGTGAGCCCCATTCGATGCAACTACTGCACTGGACACGAGGGATATGCAGCCTGACGGATGCTGAATCAGGTTGGAAAGCTCAAGTTTGGGGCTGTGCAGAGCGTCACGGCCTTCTTCGACGACGTCGTGCTGATCCACGTCAACCATGCGCCGCTGGTGATTACGCTCGTGGCGCCCAACTCGCCGCAGATCGGAGCGCTCCACGCTTTGGCGAGCGAACTGCGCTCGGCACTCACGCCGCTCAAACGGTGTGTGGAAAGCGCGGACGTGCACTGAAGCTGAACGCAGACAGAGCCCGTTCCACGATGTCGAGCAGATCGTGACGCAGCTGCGCCATCATACCTGCCGAGTCAGCGTATAGCTCGTTGCGTACTTCAAAGACTGCCGTTCGTTTGTCCGTTGGTCTCCGCGACACCAGAGTCGCTTTGTCGGGTCTGAGATGCTTATCATCGAACAGAAGTCGACGCAGCGAACTTTCGCCCGCCCACCAGCATCGCCTGTAGCTTTCCGGAATAGCTAGCGACAGTGATGGCCGCCGATGCAGTCTCTCGATCCTGTTGTGTCCTGTCGTTTCGATGACTACTACCGTCGACAGCACGAGCGTGTCTCGTCATGTGGAAGAGCAGATTGCTACCGTCGCTAGGGCTCTGACTTGACGTACTGCTGGTTTCATTGCCGCTGTGCTCACTCGAGAAGGGATCGGGACGCCCGAGCGATGTGGTTCTGGACTTCAGCACTTCCGACGCATCGACTTCATCGTGCCCCATCATCATTGGCCTCTTTTCAATGCTCCTCTCGAGCTTCAGAGTGTCTGCGGAGGTCTCCGTCTTCTTGCTGCTCAGGATGTCGAGCTTCATGCACTCCCACTCCACACGCACAAAGTTCCACATGATACGCCGCACGACCTCCGCGACCTGCGAGACGAGTTTAAAGTGCACGCCAATGTGCATCCAGTCCCACCATTTGGTCACCCACATAATGCGGAGCGCAAAGTCCACGAGGATGATCAGGTAGTACACCTGACGTGGGCGGTATGTCAGCTGGTGCCGCAAGAAGACCACTCGTCGGGGCAGGTGCGGCTGGCCCAGGCCCCAGTCCATGATGACGTCCCATAGGAACGAGTAGAGCGAGTTGAACACGGCACAGAGCAGAAAGAAACTGCTGTGTTCGGGCCGCGCGAGCCCCCTGAGCATCGGCTGAGCGCCCACGGAGATCACCAGCAAACTGGAGCAGTACTTCATCGTGTTGAGCAGGTGTAGGAAGCGGTCGTTCGCGCTGGTTGTGCGCTGGAACGAGATCAGACACTGCGTCGCGCGGAGGCTGCAGCAAAAAACGCATACAAAGCACTGTATATGAGCACAACGACCAGCTGCCATCTCGCCATCTCCTTCTCCTCCATCTCGCCATCCCCATCTCCTCCTCCATCTCCTTCTCCTTCTCCTTACTCACATGTACGGCGCACTGGCTGCGAAATACGGCAGCGGCGACTCCTTCAGCTTGGAAAGGTACGACGCGTGCAGCTCTTTTGGCTCCACAGTGAGCGACCGCACGAGCAGCAGGAGCGCGACCGCCAGGTCCTGACTGCACTTGGACAGCGATGTGAGGCCGTCCGCGAGAAAGACCTCACTGAACGGCGTCGCGTGCGCCGGCAGCTGCAGCGACCAGCGCTGAAAGGGCCACAGACAGCGCGTGAGCTTCCGCACGACGTAGCGCCGGAACTTGTAGTGCAGCACGTCCAGCGGACACACGAGCAGAGCGGCTGCGACGGCCACGTAACCCAACAGCAGCAGCTCCGTGTGCGTCTCGTCGTGTCCGAACGCGCGGCCGCGTTGGGCGGCGTACGCGTTGAAGAGCACGAGCTGCGTGAGGAGCAGGAAGAGCGCCGTCTGGCAGATGCCGCGCGCTTGGGGCACCTCGTCCGGCCGCATGTCGAGGACCCGGTCGAAGGCCAAGCGCTGGCGCTGGAAGACGTGCAGGTTCGCGGCCAGTCCCAGCAGGAAGACGGTGGCGGCCAGGGGGCCGCACAGGAAGAACCACGTGGTGATTGGGTACGGGGCCGCCGTCGCGAGCGGCTCGTGCGTTGGGTCGAGCGACATGACGGCGGCTGCTGCTGCAGGGGATATCGAGAGTGGGGCAGCACGCGGACGAGGGGACGAGGGCGACGGACGCGGAGGTCCGAACGGATTGGACTGAGCTATGAGAGGGCGAGTGCGTCACTTGTTGACAGACAGACAGACAGACGGACCGACAGACGGACGGACAGACGGACGGACGGACCGATTGTTTGCGGTGCCGATCAAGACGATCGATGGGCCGGCCGGTCGGTCGGTCTGCTGACGGACGGACGGACGGACGGACGACAGTGTGTGCGTTTGTGGGTGTGCAGGTGTGTGTTTGGGTGCGAGCAGTGGTATCCCTGAAGTCGAAAACCAAAGCGGCCGACGGACTGGTTGCGGTCGGATCCGACGTCAGGTGCTCAACGTGGCATTCGACCGAGAGAGTGTGAAAGAGAGAGAGACTTCTTCTAGACGCAGAGAGGTGACGATTGACCCTCGTTGGCAACTTCCTTAGGCGCGCACTTGCACGGCGTCGGCCTTGTCGATGAGCTCAATCATGCGCGAGTGGACGTCGCCTTTGCCGTTCGACGCCACGACGTTGCGCGTAGCGAGCGAGAAGGATGTGCCGTCGCTGTTGGTCACGCGCCCCCCGGCCTCAGTTACCAGCAACGCGCCGGCTGCAACGTCCCACGAGTTCAGGTCGAGCTCGTAAAAGGCCTGCGGAGCACCAGCACACAGGACACACACACACGGGTCAGAATGACATGGATAGACAAAAGCCATCGACAAAGCGCCACGTCACGTGACGTGACGTCACACACAGACACATATGCGACACTGGCGCTGCGACGCGTTGCAGCATATGTACGTCTAACGCACCGATTGGCGGCCAGCAGCGGTCCACGCGAGTTCGATGGCTGCTGCGCCCTGCAGCCGCAAGCCCCGGCATTGCGCAGAGAACTCGCGCGCACACTCGAGCATGGGCAGCCGCACGCTGTCCTTCGTGCCGATGCCAAAGCCCACCAACGCATGAGCGAACGACGTCTCGTGGCTCACGTGCATCGGGCGGCCGTTCAGTAACGCGCCGCGGCCCTTTTGCGCCGTGAAGAGCTCGTCGCGGTACGGGTCGTAGACGACGCCCACTGTCACGTCGCCGTAGTGGGCACACGCGACCGACACGACGCTCGCTGGTCGGTGGTGCACAAAGTTCGTCGTGCCGTCGATCGGGTCCACGATCCAGAGCCACTCTTTGCTCACGAGGGCCTCGAGGGCCTGGGCCGCGGCCGCGCTCCCCGGCGCCACGTCCTCCTCGCCCAGGCACTCGTGGCTCGGGAACGACGCCTGGATCCGCGCAAAGACCATGTCCTGGCACTGCTTGTCCACGACCGTGACCAGGTCGTCTTTGCCCGACTTGGTCTTCTCCACGCGCGACGTGCGCAGCTGCGCCTTCATGTGGTCACCGGCAGCGCGCGCAGCTGCAGTCGCAACGGTCAGCACTGCGTCCATGTTCGTGGCCACGGACGGGGCGGCCATACTGCAGTGTCGTTGGCGGCGAAGAGAGGAGCGACCGCAAGGAGAAGTGCGTCGGTGTGGACGGTTTGATCATGAGTGTCTCGTTGTTTTGGGTACACTTTGCGTAGATCCGATCGAGTCGTCGACACAAGCGCAATAGGGACCGGACTGTTATCCTGCATTTGCAGGTCGTTTTCAGAAACCAGATTCGCATGGTAAGGGAGAGGCTAGATACACCGGGCATTAATGGGGCGTGTCTAAGGGCGTGTCCAATCCGTACTTCAAATTTACCATTCTGTACTTCGAACGCGTCAAACGTTTGTCCGGACAAAACTCAAATCCCCAAGCGGACTTGGGTTACGGACGTCCTTTTTCGTACAAGGGTCAAGAAACTACTCCCACACAACAGCAACCGGAGGTGTTTACCGCAAGCAGTTCCTATGGTCAAGCTCTTGGTGTGGGCGGGGTTTGAACCCGCGCCACCTCCGCAAACTCGTGGCGCCTGAACACTAAACCGAACAGACATGACTTCTGTGCGCGGTGCAGCGGCACTGTAGAATAGTCTGCCTTTCCGGGTTGTCTTCACATAACCCCGGGCACTCTTCACTTCCATTCGCCGTTCCCGCTCTTTTGGCTGTCGTGCTTCTCTTCGCCTCTTCCTTGGTTGCCCTTCCTCTTTTTCTATAGCTACTCACTCTTTTTTTCTCTCACTTTTTCCTTTGGGCTACTTTCTGAGTATCACTCCTGATTTACCTCTCTACGTTTGACAAACGAAGTACGGTAGCAAGGCTTTTTGATGGATAACAGTGTAATGAAACCCATTTCCCCCGGACACAACTTAATTACTCATTGGACAATTAATTTGTTTTTTAGAAGGAAACATGCATCTTGTCATGCTTTAGTAAAGGGGGTTGGAGTAGCAGAGTTCATTCAGCGTTCTTGTTAAGTTCTGGTTCCTTATCCATTAACCTTCACACTAAGTTGTATCTGAGATAACTGTAAAGCTCAATACACTACATCCATTTTCATTCATCCACTACTCCAAAATGTCGACAAACGTTACTGACTATCTTTACGCTGCCCTTGATCGTGCTTTTGAAGGAAGTACCCCCGTCACTACTGGTGAAATCTACCAAGAGACTTAAGTGTCCACTCTCGAGTCCAACCATGTAGGCTGCAACGACGATACAGAAACGCATGAAGAAGATCAAAATTGTCACTGTGACAAAATTTGTGATGGAGGAGGAAAGCGTGTTTGTGAATTTGACCACCCAAAGGCAACGAAGTGTAATACCACTCTTACTTTGATGTATGTCGAACCCATTTCGAAGGACAAGAGTTTAATACGTTCGAGAGAACTCGGATGGCTTTAGAGAAATTGCAACGGGGTTACACGTCGGCTGGTAGTCGACGATAGGTGTGGTACACACAAGAGAGGGGGTATCCTATACAGTAATTTTAGAACACAGTGAGTGTATCAATTGTTGAAGACTGATGTCTGTCATCAATTGATTACGAGATCTTTTAAGAGGTTATTTAGGGCAGGTTAAATACGTTGTTCTAAGATGTTCTTTTAGGTTTAATAAAGAAATAAAAATTCAGTTCCCCTTTTGATCACTGAAAGACACGTGCCCCAAGAGGTGTCTTCGATCGGTAGGAGCTAGCAATACCTGTGAAGGTAGCTACTCCTGAGCACTCTGTGCTGTGATTCTTTTGAATCGTTTGGTCCCCCTGGAACAGGGACCGTAAGCTCTCTGAGCTTGCTGACTCTCTGAGTCGGGTTCGTAGAATCAAAGTTGCTCGTAAGAGCTTTAAGTCTTCCTCTGACTTAAGAAGCTGTGTAGATCCGCTACAGATATGGTCAGCATCTCACGTGTTTGCAGTCTAGGGCAAGAACAAGTATGCTCTCAATAATATTGGTGGTTTCAACCAAGACTTCCTGTGTGCACGCGGAGGCAAGTATGAAAAGAGCAGAAACGCTGCTGAAGCCCAAGAGCGCAAGGTAACCTCCCAACTCACCGGATGTAACTGGAAGGCCCAAATTCGGCGCGAGTCAACATACAGCAAATACACCGATGTCAATGTTACCCACAACCACAAGCCGACAGCTCATGTATGATTATTTCCTGTGAGCCGCAAGTCGTTCGATGTTGATGTCCACCTTCTTTACGCGGGCACCTGGAAGCGGCAACAAAGGCAAACAACATTCTTGGCGGCTTAAAGAAGTGTTTTCCCGAATGTGAGCTTGTCTTGAAGGATATCTACAATATGATCGTTCATCACAAAAGAGATCAACTTCAAGGAGAGTATATAATGACCGCCTTGATGCGCAAGATTGTATCAGATGGAGCTATGCATTATACCAAGGTTGACGAACAACATCATCCTACGCACATATTGATTATTCTCAACGAGATTCCAAAGATAGTACGACTTGAGCGGACAACCCCTGTTGTTCAGATGGACGGTACTTACCGGACGAAAACATATGGCACACAGATGCTCCACATAGTCGACAGTAACGATTTGAACAAAACGTACACCCTGGTCTACTAGTTATGAGTTCCACGCTGAAGGCCGATAATAAGTGGGTGCTACATGCATGTCTGGAATTTGGAATTATTGTGGAACCCAGAAATATTCTTACAGAAGCGGAGCAAGCATTAATTGACGCTATTGAAGACAATATTATAAATACTCAAGCCATACGCATGCTATGTGTATAGGCACATAGTCATGAACATCACGGCACACCATAAAATTTTCATGTCACAGATACGAATAATGAGAAGATATTGACCCGGGACGATTTTCGAACACGGATTTTCACCCTTTTTACTAAGTCGCATTCTGAAGAAGTCTTCAAACACGAATGGGACGACATTAGTCAAAATATACAAATTGCGTGGCATATTACATTCAGTATCAATGACTTAACACCTTCAAATAGCGATTTTGTGAACCATAGCTTTTATATGCCTTGCGTCTGGAAAATCGGCACACCCCACGGGTCGAGAGCGCACACCTCAGTCTGAAAGAATTTTTGGAAAATGCTAAACAAGGTCTTTTTTCGATTTAACTAAAACTGAAGCAGCGTGCCGATGACCAGTTGGAAGCTGTAAGATCATCGCAGTGAGCGAGAACTCCAATCACGATGAGGGGCCTCTCACCCAGTACCAAGTGAAGTAGGTCTTCTTGTCTCGAGTACTGCGTCGAGTCTACTGCATAAACAGATCGAACTTGCCATGATTGAATTAAAGGAAGAAATGCTGGCTGGCGACAATCACGATCCGTCCGTGTGCTACAATATATTAAGCAGACAATATGGCCTTCCTTGCTCACGTACTATTATTGAGTTCCTCCGACGTGGCGAAAAAATTGGCGCAGAACATATCGTAGAGTCATTCTGGTTTCTGGAGAAAGAAGCAATCTGTTACATGATTTCTAAACCCTTTGAAGCTCCGGTATCTTAACGATCAACGCGAAAAGTAGAATAACAACATCTGCGTAAATTAAAGAGGCCCGCCTTGGATAACTTAGACAAATTCGTCAGTGTGGTGGTTGCCAAGAGTATGCGCGTTATAATATTACGAGCTACCTATCTTAAGTGCAAAGAAAGACAAACCCTTCGCCAGTCGCCAGCGGATCCTCTGCAAGTATACCGTCATCTACAAGTTTACAAGTACGTCAGAGGCAACACCAAACGATTAGATCGCTGTGTCACCAACACTATCTACCTCAGCAGCAACAACAACTCATCCATCCCCAAGAGCATTACCAGCCGTACACATACAAGCAGCAGCCTCAATACCTTTCCTCTCACTCCGGTCAAGAATTGTTCCCTAATTACCGCCAAAGACAACCAATGGATCTGCAAGAATCTCTCTCCTACGACACCTACGACCAGCAGCATCAGATTCATGAGTCTCAACAACTCGGCTCAACAGAAATATTCTATACTGATCCACCCTAGTCGCAGATGACGCAACACCACACGCAGCGGGGACCCATCGTCTCTCTTGGTCACCTTAGGTCCTCCCACACTTCTGCTCATCACTTGTATTCATCCACTATAAGCGATTATGGCCTGCAAATAACCGTGCCTCGCAGGTCGTATCTGAATGTGTATCAGCATCCACAGCTCAACAATTGTAGCAAATAATCCAGTATGTAATTTGTTCCTCCTCAATGTACCTTATTTATTGCAGCTCCTTTTGCAGAAGATAGGTTCATCTTATTGTGATGGGATTTACAACCCCTGGCTCCCAGCGGGGTGTAGAATAAAAGTGATCCTTAAATTGTATCAGGCAGACGGAGGCGGCGTCGTGATCACGTCAGATTTCTTTGTCGTCATGCGCTCGTCTCGTGATCATTTCATGACGGTTTTTAGAGCAGCGCAATAAGCTCAAAATCGGAACTTTATCCGTCATATGTCCTGACGAAAATATTTCTATTGTCAGGAAAAATGTCAGAATTTTTGTCCGGGGGGAAATAATCATACATGAGCTGTCGGCTTGTGGTTGTGGGTAACATTGACTAGATTCACGGTGTATTTGCTGTATGTTGACTCGCGCCGAATTCGGGCCTTCCAGTTACATCCGGTGAGTTGGGAGGTTACCTTGTGCTCTTGGGCTTCAGCAGCGTTTCTGCTCTTTTCATACTTGCCTCCGCGTGCACACAGGAAGTCTTGGTTGAAACCACCGGTATTCTTGAGAGCATACTTGTTCTTGCCTTAGACTGCAAACCCGTGAGATGCTGACCATTTCTCTAAAGCCATTCGAGTTCTCTCGAACGTATCAAACTCTTGTCCTTCGAAATGGGTTCGACATACATCAAAGTAAGAGTGGTATTACACTTCGTTGCCTTTGGGTGGTCAAATTCACAAACACGCTTTCCTCCTCCATCACAAATTTTGTCACAGTGACAACTTTGATCTTCTTCATGCGTTTCTGTATCATGGTTGCAGCCTACATGGTTATACTCGAGAGTGGACACTTAAGTCTCTTGGTAGATTTCACTAG